CGGGCCCCCACAGATGCCCGTGCACGAGCCGCTGTCCCCACAGCAGCTGCAGCAGCAGCAAACCATGTACAATAAGAAGATCCCCTCCTTGTTCGAGATCGAGGTCCGGCCCACGGGGCAGCTGGCCGAGAAGCTGGGCGTCAGGTGAGTGCTCTGGCCCGCAGTAGGCCGGGGGGGCTGTTCCAGGCCCCACCAAGCTGCTTCCTACCCCTGGGCCTGTCGGTGGGAACCTGCCTGTGCCTCGGCCCTTCCTCGCTCCACAGCTGTTTGGGGCCTGGGCTGGAGCCTGTGACCGTGAGCCTCTCAGCTTTCAACTTGGATGTGGACTGTTCCATGTCTCCTGGGCACATGGCCTCTGCCCTTCCTCTCCACCCACTCATGGCACCCATTCCTCCTTTTCCTAGGTTTCCTGGACCTGGTGGACCTCCAGGGCCCATGGGCCCTGGACCCAACATGGGACCCCCAGGGCCCATGGGGGGACCGATGCACCCCGATATGCATCCGGACATGCACCCGGACATGCACCCTGACATGCACCCGGACATGCACCCTGACATGTCGATGGGCCCTGGCATGAACCCCGGCCCCCCGATGGGGCCTGGAGGCCCCCCCATGATGCCCTATGGCCCTGGAGACTCCCCGCACTCTGGCATGATGCCCCCCATCCCACCAGCCCAGAACTTCTATGAGAACTTCTACCAGCAGCAGGAGGGCATAGAGATGGAGCCGGGGCTCATCGGGGACCCAGGTACGCGGGGCTGGCTTGCTTGTCCGAGACTCCAACTCCCTGACCGTCATCCCTGTCCATCCAGTGGTCTGGCGTCTTCAGTGCCAGCCTTTCACTGCCCTGCTGAGGCTGAGCGGGCGGTGTGACGACAGTGCTCACCCGCCTTCCTTTGTGCTTCGCCTGGTGTTCGTGGAGGGACAGAGTGTGACGCTCTGTTGGCTAGGAGGGCGGGGTGCCCTGGGAGTCAGCAGCGTGCCCTGGCCAGAGTGACTGCCTGCCGGGCGGCTCTTCACTGCCAGCCGCCTGCGTGGACCCTACGGCTGCTCTTTCTGTCCCACGACTGACTGTTTTCCCCCTTTCCTTGCTTTGTCGCTGCAACGAGACAGCTTGTTGGCCACAACCTAGACATCTGGCCACTGGGGCGCAGTTGAGTGAGCTGGGCCACGGCTACCTGAGTAGCCCCGTGGCAGGCGTTAGAGAGGAGAGACGCACGTTAGGGCCACAGGGGCCAGGCCTTGTAGTAGGCCCCGGGGGTCACAGAGCAAGCAGGACAGCCCTAGTCTCTGCCTTAGCTACATCCACATGGAGGGACTCCGTGGAAGAAAGTAGGTAGGCTGAGAGGGCGAGGGCCACCCTGCAAAGTGAATTGTGCCTGAGGATGGGGCCACCGTCGTCCCTGGGGAGAAAGCAAACACTGAGACCCCAGCCCAGCCAGGTAACTCAGGCCAGCCCAGCCCTAGTCCAGCCCAGCCCAGCCAGCCCAGCCCTAGTCCAGCTCAGCCCAGCCAGCCTAACTCAGGCCAGTCCAGCCCAGCTCATTTGAGAAGAGCAGAAGCTACCGCGTGGCTTGAAGGACAGGTAGAGGGGGAGAAGCATGAACACAAAGACGGGGAGGGGAGGCTGCTCTACCTGGAGAGTCAGGAGCCGTGTGGACCATGGCTCCCGGCAGAGAAGGGCATGGACTCTAGGGGTCAGAGTGCAGCAGTGGAAGCCTCTGGGCTGCTGTAGGGTAGCTCTGGGTGGAGGCCAGGAGGTGTCAGGCAGTAGTAGGTGTGGGCTTTATGGTCATCGTGCCAAAGTGAGGGTGTGTGTGTGTGTACGCGCGAGTGTGTGTGTGGATGTGTGGGGTGTGAGAGAGAGAGAGAGTTGGGTGAAAGTCCATAGGGCAAATTCGTCGTCCATTCAACAGTTCATATGCATTTTGTTTTACTACATGGATTGCAGCCCCCACGCGAAGCAGCTCTCTTTCCATGTCCTCTGTGGTTACCTCTTCCCTGTGTCCTCCTATCCTACGCATTCCCACCCTCTAAGCTGTGTTCTTGTGCAAATGCTGCCCTCCTGATCTCCCATGGTTGATTGTTGTAAGGAGTGTACCTTCCTGGTGTAATTGTTCACCTTGTAGGCCTGTCCTTTGTTTGGCCCGAAGCCACAGGAATGAGAGTTCAATTCCAAGCCTAACAGGTGACATAGGGCCGTGGTCTCAGGGCACTCACCAGTCTCTATCACATCAATAGGCCTGGGTTGTTTTTTTTTTTTTTTTATGATCTTCAGTTTTGTTCCACATTTTTCTCCCACTCTATCTGAGCTCTCCCACTGTGATCCCTTGCTGAGCTGGGCACCATCTAGTTCTGGTCTCAGGGATGTATAGGGTGAGGTTCCCATGGTCCACTAGTCCCTTGGATTAATTGTTCCCATGCATCTTTGATTTTCTTTATTCTTCTTTGCGCCAGACAAGGAGAGACCCATTGTGGCATCTTATATGGCTACTCACAAGCTTTTAAGATGGCTTCCCCCCTTTTAAAAAAACGTTTATTAAACAGTCATGGAGAAAAGTCAGGGGAAGGGAGGAGAAAGCCACCCGGAAATTGTTGACAGTAGGTCTCTGAAGTAGTTCAGGCTTTTTTTTTTTAACTGAGATACCATTCCCATGAAAGCTGCCTTTCTAAAGTGTGTGGTCCAGTGGCGTTACTGAGACCCTGTGAGAGCCGTGCCCTGTGGGGCGGAAACCTGCTGAGAAGGAAAACGCCGGCATTTTCTCCTGACAGAGAGCGGTGGAGAAGTGGTCAGCCCTCACCCTGTCAGAGGTGGAAAACTTGTGAGACCCGAGAAACAAGGTGGTCCTGGTGGTTCCAATCCCGGGTCTCCCTGTACTCCCCTGGGGCCTGAACTGCTTGTCTCGGCTGTTTTGTTTCATTTCGTTTCATGGTCATAGAAGGTTAATGTGGTGTTCTTGAAACACAGTAACAACTATTTTCAACACACTGTTCATTTCCATCTAAGTAGTTAAGGTCAGCTTTGCCCCTCGCATCCCAGATCTGTACTGATTCACTTCTTTAACATCTCACTGTGGTGTAGGTGAAAGTTCGCTTCCCAGTTAATGGCATACAGCTTGTTCCATGATATTGGCCCCATTTTTCCAGTGTGTCCACTGTCTCGTCATTTCCGTTCTTCGTACTCTGTTTCCGTTAATCTGGCTTCCCTGCCCCTCCTTAGCACCTAGTCTTTGCCTGAGGGACACGTTGGCCATCCAGGCTCATCCAGATGGTTCATTTAAGGGAGCACAGTGTTCATGTCTGAACTGTTTTCTTTTGGAAGATAATCTACTATTAGAGGAAAGGTGGCCACCAGCTCCAAGTTCAAAAGGTATTTTAGGATGATATTCTCAGGGGTTCTCTGTTGGACCAGTACATTCTGGCTTTTTTTTTTTTTCCGGAATTTGAGCTTTGTTCTGTGTTTTCCTCTCTTTCTGAAGGGGACCTTCTACTCTGGTCCTGTCTGAACAGTCAGTGGTAATACCTGGGTACCATCTAGTAGTTCTGGTCTCAGGCTGGGGGAGGCTGGGCTTCATGTAGGCCATTAGTCCCGTGGACTGGTTTCTTCTTCAAGTTTTTGGTTTCCTTGTGGGCTTCTCATGACAGGGACCGTGCCTGTCCCCTTAAACTGAAGTGCTCCAGGTCTGAGCCCGTGGACTGCTGTGGAGCCAGCTCCCTGTTACGTGGTGCAGGGGCCAGGGAGAGAGGACCTTTCACCTTTTATTTGATAGACTTTTGTATGTGAAACGTTTACAGATTGAGTCATTTTTATTACATAGAAAGTGCAGTTGGTTCTGCTTATTTGTGGTAGAAATGTTCCATCAAGTCCTCACTGGCCCTGAACCAGCGGACACCGTGGAACCAGCCTTAGTCGCCCTCAGCTGGGAACGCCTGCCATGAGTGTCCACTCTGCAGGTGACCACAAATGACCACAAAGAAAACGCTGCAGACGCGGACTCATGAACATGGATCCACACTAATGTGGATCGAAAATGCAGACTGAGTGATGTCAGCTCTGTGTTGCACAGACGTGGGTCTGTCCCCCGTCCTGTCCGTCAGGGTAGCCCCTAGGCTGTTTACATTTAAATGAATTTAAGCATGAAAGGGCGCGTGTCGTTCCCTGTAGCACTAGGTGCGTTTCCCGCCACACGCCGGTGTCCTGTGGGACGGCCCCAGCTCTGGACATTCTCTGTGTCTCTGGACCCCCGCCACGTGCCTGCGTGTACAGTCGTCGGGTGCCGTGGACTTGTCCGGCTCACCGGGCCCCGATGCGGCAGAGCCAAGCTGCCTCACGGGGTTTGCTGGACCGTGATCTTACGGGAGCAGGTCACCAGGGCTCTCTCCCTCGGTGCTGCTGGGTGGGTTGGAGCCACTGGCCTTGCTGTTAGTAATCAAGCACTTAACCATTGCGCCACCAGGGCTCATTGGAGTGGCCTGAGCTTGCTGTTTTCACCATGTAGTCTGTTCACCCCAAGTGGGTGAGTCCCTGTCGGCACTGTGTTGGTGGGGTTAGTGAAGGAGGGCTGATGCCGGGCACTTGTCCTGCAGAGGTGGACGTAGCCCTTCAGGCCAGGCTTCCTGAGACACTGTGTCTTAGTTGTTGTTGGGTGTTTTCAGCCCCATGTGATGGCGTAGAACTGCTCCCATAGGGTGTCCAAGGCTGTCATCTTCACAGAAAAAACAAAAACCAAACTCTCTACCTTCAAGTCAGATCTGACTCATAGTGACCCCTCCTTGGGTTTCCGAGGCGGTATCACCGCGGAAGTAGATTGCCCAACCTTCCTTCCGGGGAGCAGTTGGTGGGTTTGAACCGCCAGTCTTCTAGTTAGCAGTCAAATGCCTTAGGTACTATGCTAGCAAAGCTCCTAATCTTCACTGCAGCATAGCCCAAACCAAACCTATTGCTGTGGATTCTGACCCACAGCGCCCCTAGAGGAGAGAGTGGAACTGCCCCCAGGGTTTCCTAGGCTGTGATCTTATAGGGGAGCTCTGCTAGCATAGTGCCTAAGACATTTGACTGCTAATCTTCATAGAAGCAGATGGCTGCATCATTCTCCTGTGGAGTCCTTGGGAAGGTTTGAACTGTTGGCCTTTGGGTTAGCAGCTGAGTGCTTAACCATTTGTACCACCAGGGCTCCTTAAGATACTTTGTAGGGGAAGCTGACTTTTCTCCTCTGGCCCATAAATGCAGTAATACGCTTGTAAACGTTTGTGTTGTTGAGAACTGCAGGGGGAGGGGGGAGGAGGGGTTTCCCATGAGCCTCTGGTTGACACGTGGCCACAGCAGCATTTGGTGTGTTTCCTTCTGTTCTCTGGCTGGTTTTTGTCTTTAAATTTGGCGGAGCTCATACAGTACTTTACGAGATGAGGTTTTTTCTTTATCGGTTATGAAAAGAAACTGTGTAACCAGTCTCACCGCAAATAATGAGAGGAAGGCAGCAGTTCCTGGTGTTAAAAAGGAGACATCCACCCACCCCCTCTCCTTGGTCCCTCCAGTGGGCCTGTTTGTGTCTGTCTTTGCGAAGCCTTTTCTGTCCCTTTACAAACATACATGCCCTGTACTACCCTGTTGTCACTTCATCCACATCTACCCACGTCCCCGAAAGCTCTCTGTGGGCCTCATTCTTACAGGCTGCACTGTCGGGGTCAAAGGCTGCACTGTCGGGGTCAAAGGCTGCACTGTCGGGTTGGGAGGAGCTTCCAGCTGGCTGCTCCATTCCCCGTGATCCAGCTCCACACGGGGCCCCAGCTCTGGCGGCCCCTGGGGGACAGCAGGCCAAGCCAGGCCATCGGGTGTTTCAGCTAAGGGAGAGGGTGGGCTGGAGGTGGCGCCCCGGGCCCTGCCCGACGTGAACCCCGGTTCTTCCTGCCACAGAGGACTACGGGCACTGCGAAGAGCTGGCAGGGGGACCTGGGGAGCACCTTTTCCCCGAGCTCCCCCTGGAGCCCGACAGCTTCTCTGAGGGCGGGCCCCCAGGCCGGCCGAAGCCGGGCGCCGGTGTCCCTGACTTCCTGCCCTCGGCCCAGCGGGCCCTGTACCTGCGGATCCAGCAGAAGCAGCAGGAGGAGGAGGAGAGAGCAAGGAGGCTGGCTGAGAGCAGCAAGCAGGACCGGGAGAATGAGGAAGGCACGTGTCCTCCCGGGTCGGGTGTCGTGGCGGGAAGGGGCCCGCGGCCAGGGAGGACCCCTCCCAGGCCTCACAGCCAGGCCGGGCTGCTGTGCGTCCCCGAGAGGATCGGACGGTGGGGCCAGGATGTGTTTCGGGTTGGGGAGAGGGTCTCCTGCTGAAGATGGGGGTGGTCTCCCCAAGACCTGCCTCCTTGCAGAGCAGGCTTTAGGGAGACCCTCAGAGCCCCCGCCCCCAAACCAGGCCTCGGAGCAGCAAGGCTGCTGACTCCTGCGGGCCCGCGCTAAGTGGCCACACTCAGTCAGGAGGTGCTGGGGGCGCAGCCTGGGGCCCCCTCTCTGGGAGGGGTTGGACACGTGGTAGGGTCCCTGATGAGAGTAGGACAGCAGTGGGGAGGGCCGGAGCAGGCAGCCCTCCCCGGTGGCCCAGGGTCACCCTCGTAAAGGCAGGACTTGGACCTGTTTCCCCTGAGTCAGCAGACAGTCTGCTTGTATCAGCTGTAGGGGGTCGCAGACCTACCCGCCCTTCCCTGGGACCCACCACCAGGGAGGCCCACCCTGTGTGGGGATGGTGAGGGGCTGAGGGCCAGACGTGAGGCCCCCAGAGCCAGTGGTGGTGGTGTGCCCGTGAGGCTGGAGCTGGGCAGCCCTGGGCTGGGGTCCCTGGCTTGGTGACACTGTGCCTGCTTTCTCTTCCGTCTCACGGGTGTGGTCCTAGCGCTCCCTCCCGGGACGTCGTGAGGAGTAGTGCCGCTGCTGCCGCCGCCGCACAAGAGACGCTCCGACCTCCCCACGGGGTGGGGGCTCGCCCCAGAAACCGAGCTCTGAGGGGGAGGTGGGGGCTCGCAGCCTGTGGGTCTGAGGCTAGAGTGGAGGAGGGGCGCCAAGCCCTGACCCCCCTTTCTGTTCTTGCTCAGGTGACACTGGAAACTGGTACTCAAGCGATGAGGAGGAGGGTGGGAGCAGCGTCTCTTCCATCCTCAAGACCCTGCGTCAGCAGACGTCCAGCCGGCCCCAGGCCTCGGTTGGGGAGCTGAGTGGCAGTGGGCTCGGAGACCCTCGTCTCCAGAAGGGACACACCACAAGCAGCCGGCTGGCAGACCCCCGCCTCAGCCGGGACCCGAGACTTAGCCGCCACGCCGAGACCTCCAGCGGGTCAGGGGCCGGGGACACGGGGCCCTCTGACCCCCGGCTGGCCCGCTCTCTGCCTGCTGCCAAGCCTGACATCAGCCTCCATGCCAGCCCCGTGGGCCCCGGCAGCACCAAGGGGGCCGGGCCACCCCCTGCTGAGGAGGAAGAAGGGGAGCGGGTCCTGCGGGAGAAGGCCGTGAACATCCCTCTGGAGCCCCTGCCCGGGCACCCGCTGCGGGACCCGCGGTCACAGCTGCAGCAGTTCAGCCACATCAAGAAGGACGTGACCCTGAGCCGGCCGAGCTTCGCCCGCACGGTGCTCTGGAACCCCGAGGACCTGATCCCCTTGCCCATCCCCAAGCAGGACGTGGTACCACCCGTGCCCGCGGCCCTGCAGTCCATGCCTGCCCTGGACCCCCGGCTGCACCGCCCCTCCACCACGGCACCCCCCAACCCGCGGCAGCGCCCGGGCGCCCCCGCGGAGCCCAGCCCGTCCGGCTCCAGCCTGCCTGACTTTGAGCTCCTCTCTCGCATCCTCAAGACTGTCAATGCCACCGGCCCCTCAGCGGCACCCAGCCCGAGTGACAAGCCCAGTGACCCCCGGGTGCGCAAGGTCCCCACTGACCCCCGGCTGCAGAAGCCGGCTGACCCTTCAGCTGCTTCCCGGGCAGCCAAGCCTGGTGCCACCGAAGTGCCCGTGCCGGCCGGCAGCCCCAGCAGAGAGCCCTCACCCCCAGCCATTGCCCCCTACGACCCACGTGTGCTGGCGGCTGGCGGGTTGGGCCAGGGCGGTGGCAGCGGGCAGAGCAGCGTGCTGAGCGGCATCAGCCTCTACGACCCGAGGACTCCGAACGCAGGGGGCAGGGCTGCCACGGAGCCAGCCGCGGACGGGGGCACCCAGCCCAAGGGCCCCGAAGGCAACGGCAAGGCCCCGTCCGCCGCCAAAACCAAGGAGCCCCCCTTCGTGCGCAAGTCCGCCCTGGAACAGCCTGAGGCGGCAAAGGCCGGTGCGGACGGGGCCCCGGCCACGGACAGGTACAACAGCTACAATCGGCCCCGGCCCAAGGCCGCCGCGGCCCCTGCTGCCACCGCCGCACTCACCCCACCCCCCGAGGGCACCCCACCCCAACCCGGGGTGCACAACCTGCCTGTGCCCACCCTCTTTGGGACTGTGAAGCAGGCCCCCAAGACAGGTTCCGGCAGCCCCTTTGCTGGCAACAGCCCAGCCCGCGAGGGCGAACAGGACGCAGGTTCCCTCAAGGATGTTTTCAAAGGCTTTGACCCCACTGCCTCCCCCTTCTGCCAGTAGTGCTAGCCGGAGCACGCGCCTCTCAGCCCCTGCCCGGCCCACGCCCAGCACGGCGGCCAGGGTCACAGACTCAGCGCGGGAACCGGGGCCTGGGCACCAGTTCTTTCGTTCTTTCCCCTTTTTTAAGTAGAACTTTCTTTGAAACATAAACTGTATATAACCACCTTCCATTCTGGCCAGTGCTGCGGGCTCCCGAACTCCCACCAAAAACATGTCCCTGTGCACACGAATAGTGGCCTTGAGGCCTCGGGCCGGGCCGCACTCCTGTCACTGGGGTCTGCGGGGATTTCTGGGCAGAGCTCGGCCCCTCCTCCCCGCTCCACTCGCCAGAGCTTCCCTCGCACCCTCACTCAGGACAGAGGGACGGGGTGAGGGAGGAGACGCTGGAATGCCGCTCACTCTGTGTCCGACCACTGTCCGACGAGCGAAGGCGGCTGAGCCCGCGACCGGGAGCAGGACTTAGGCCTGTCTGGAGCCAGCCCGTCGCACAGTGCACGTGTGCTGGCAGGCCGCCTCAGGAGATGGTGAAAGTCAGAAACAAGCCAGGAGAAGAGAGAGAGACAGCCCACACCAGCTCCCCGTGGCGGGGCAGCAAGGCGTCCTTCCCGTGCCGGCACCCGGACGCCCCCACCTCCATCCCGGGCTCATCTTTACCAGCTGACACCCCAGCCTGGGCGCAGAGGCCCCAGGGGGAGAGATGGATGAGGAGATGGGGATCCCGGCCCCACGTGTCGTCAGTATTACCTGTCCCGTTGTGGCCACGCCCCCTCTCAGCGCCGAGTGTGTCCACACTCTGTCCTGACCCCACCCGCCCCTCTGGAGACAGCTCACGGATCCGTGGCGTGGCTGCCACCCCCACCCCAGGCCCCGACCAGGGAGGCCTGATGGTTTCTGAAAGTATTTCTGCCCCACCCCGTTTCTTTGCACCTCTCGGCACTACGTCTGTAAGGCATGTGGTGTAAGGGTGTTTCTCCCCTTGTAAGCCGGGTTCAGAGGCAGGGCACGGTGCCCTGTGTGGACGCTTCGTGGACAGGCCCGAGGACAAGGCTACAGTGTCTGCTGGGCCCTTCCCAGTGAGAGCGACCGGAGCCCGGCCCCGGCCCCAGTGGCACAGGAGCAGAGGCGGCCACCCGCCTGGCCTGTTGCACCCCAAGTACCTGAGTCAGTGGGGAACCTGCCTGTCTGCTGCCCTATGAAGGCCCTGCCTTTCCTTGCTGCTTGAAAGGAAACCTGGACCCGCAGCCTAAGGACCCCCACCCCGGGGTGGGGGTGAGCAAGGTACCAGTACCAGCCCCTAAACAACTCTTGGGGTTTGAGGCCAGAAGCCATGCAGGGGGCAGGGGGCCTGTGGGTGGAGAGGGCCCCAGGCGCCACGCCATGGTCAGGCTGGTTTGGGTCGTCTTCATGTTGGGGTTTGGCTTCTTCAGCGATCGCTAGCGAGACTGTTCCCTTCAGCCACCTTGTGGGCCCAGAGCAGGACACTGCTGCTCTGATATTTATAAGCAAGCAAGACTCCAGCGTGGTGGCGGCTCGTTTGTTTGTGTGTCCCCCCCCCACCCCATCTCTGAGATTTTTCTTTTGTAAAAGAAAAATGAAATACTTTTTTAAAAACTGAAATCTGTGGATGAACTAGAAGCTGGAAGCCCTCCCGGGACTCCTAGCCCGAGAGCCTCACGGGACTAGGAATTCACCAAACATCCACTTGCCGTCAAGCCGGAGCTTTTAAAGAAAAATGTTCTCTAACCAGGATTGTAACAAAGTGTACATAGGGTTTCAGAGAAGAAAGTCGATGGTGCAAATATGTACATAACAGACTGTATTTTTACAGCGGTCGCCGCATGACTGCCCCGTCCTTTTTTGTACTCCGTATCTGTCTTCCAGAGCGCCACCCGCCCTGTCTCCTGTGGTCTCTTAACCTGATAATTGTATTACTGCCATTAAAGGATGCAGCTATTTTAAAAAGCCTGCTGACCTGGTCTCTACCACGATCAACCTGTCGACATCCCTGAGCCAAGAGAGGGAACGAGGAACAGGGTGGGTGACGGCCCAGGAGGGGGGAGGGTGAAGCCTGGTGGTCCTCCAGCCTCCTCTGCCCCAGGATGGCACTGTGGGCAGGGCGCCCCCCTCCACGCTGAACCGTACCCCGACTCTGGGGCTCTCACTCGGGCCAGTCTCCGAGCGCCCAGGATACGGGGTTGGGCACCCCATGAGCTCACCAAGAGGCCAGTGATGAAGGCATGCCTCGGGGCTTGGGAAGAAACGGAGGCGCTCTGAGCATTTCTTAGCCAGGACGCCTTTTCTGAGGAAGGAGCCCTGGTGGCACAGTGATGAAGCACTCGGCTGCAGAAAGGCTGGCAGTTCAAACCCACCCGATGGCTCTGCAGACAAGATCCAGCAGTCTACTTGTAAAGATGACAGCCTAGGATGCCCTGTGGGACAGTTGTACTCTGTCACGTGGGTCACTCTGAGTTGGAAGTGGCTTGATGGCACCTGTGAAGATGGTGTGGCAGGAGTGTCTCTCTGCACAAGGGTAAAGGAGAATCAAGATTAGAGCATCAGCCTAAGGCTGGTTCCTACGAGGCGGAGCTCAAACATGTCACCGCCTTTCGCCAGCCTTTCATTAGTGTGAGTTGGGTGAAAGTTTACAGAGCAAATTCGTTTTCCATACAATAGTTCCCATACAGTAATTGACATACATTTTGTTTCATGACATTAATTGTAGTCCCCACAATGCAGCAGCTCTCTTCCCACTTCCTCCCTGTGCTTACCTTTTCGCTGTGTCCTGCTGTCCAGTGCGTTCCTGCCTCTAAGCTTGCTCCCTGAGCAAATGCTGCCCTTCTGAGCTCCCATGTCGCCAGCCTTTTTACCAACTCTGACACCAGCTGTCCCCGCCATGCCACTCTCTTCAATGTGCTGGGTTCAATAATCCATTGCAACGGCCACACAAAGCTCACAGATGGCACAGTTACGGGGTTTATTAGGGAAGTAACAGTTTACAATTCAGGATCAGAAACAACTCAGGATACGGTTCTTCAATCAGGACAGCCTCTTCACAGCCGTGCCCACAAGCAGGCCTCTGGCCTCTTGGCCCACTCTGCTCTGCTCCAACAAGTGTTGCAAGGTTCTTTTAGCTCCATCAGTAAGTGCCTAGAGGCCCCCACTCCACCGGGATGCCGCCTGCCCAGAGGCCGTAAGCTGCGGTTCTCCTTCCTTCCGTGGGTCTTGTGTGTCAACAAGCCTGGCTCCACCACATGTGCAGGGGCCCCCGCTCCAACAGGAAGCCGCCTGCCCGAAGGCACTCAGTTTTCTTGCTCCATGGGCAAGAAGCCTGTTCTGGTTCCCTGGTGCCACTCTGACAGGAATACACCACCAATGGGATGGCCTTAACAAACAGGAGTTTATTCTTACAGTTCAGAGGCTTTAAGTCCAAGATCAAAGTACCAGGCTCTAGGGTCTAGGGGCTGGGTGAAAGCCCCTCAACCTTGGGGGCCAGCTCTGCCTCCTGCTCCCGGCCCACTGGAGCTAGAGGCGTTTCTTCACTCAGACAGCTGCTGGCTGCTGAGGCTGAGAAGCCCCAAGGTTGACAAGTAAAAAGGCACAGTCCCAATATTACCAAACCACACGACAGCCCATTAACTTAAGTCCATTGTAAGTCCCAAGGTCGGCAGAGCATGGCAGGCTGCTGACCAATGACACGGCTATATGCAGGGTCCAAGCGTGCCATAGGCTAGAGACCATTCTCAAACCTTCTTATATACGGGAAGCAGACCACATCCCAAAGGCAGTTCCTCAGCTGCTTGTGGTAGATCCCACCATGGAGGTGATTGCCAGTCTCATCATGGGGAATAACTCCCACCAGCTGCCCAGCCCCTCAGCCAGGCCCAGCCATGCTGACCCACAAACATGACCCCACGGGGCCCACCATGGGGCCCACCACGGGGCCCACCACGCCGTCTCCCGCTGCTCTCCTGAGTCTCTGCCACCGTTTTCCGACCACTGCTTTCTCTTGCCGGCTCCACGGTTCAGCTCGCTCTCCATCTCCTGGGCCTAGGAGGTTCTCAGAACAGGGACCCAGGGTCCAGAAAATAGGCTCCACTCCCAGTCTTCTTTCTTGGTGGTAGCTAGGCCTCCACTCTGCTTGCGTTTCTCTCCTTTCATCTCTAGGATGATAAAAGGTGTGACTCAAGGGTGATGACAGTGGTCAGGATGGTGACTTGAGTTACCTTCTAGTAATGTGGTGACTTGGGATACATCCCACCCCAAACCTGCCTCGTTAACACATCAGACAGCTCACCCCCAAATGGAGCCATAACCACAGATACTGAAACTCGGATTTACAACACATCACAGAGCAGAGAGGAATAACATCAGATCACAAAATGGAAGCAGTCACATCACTGCATGACTGCCAAAGCACTGAAAATCGTGGCCCAGTCGAGTTGAGGTGTCACCTTAACTGGAGCTTCCATAAACCTTATTTGCATTAGCAGTAAGCTGTCCTGTCCCCTTGTTGAGCCACACACATCCTATTTGCATAGTTGTGACATGGGAGTCACTAAGAGCATGGCTAACCCAAACCAAACCAAACTCACTGCCGTCAAGTTGGATCCAACTCATAGCGATCCCCCTTTGGGTTTCTGAGGCAGTATCACTACAGAAGTAGGATTGCCCAACCTTGCTTCCGAGGAGTGGCTGGTGGGTTTGAACCGCCAGCCTTCTGGTTAGCAGTCAAGTGCCTATGGCCCTGTGTCAGTTTTCTATGACTAGCACGATAAATTACCACAGATTTAATGGCTTAAGAACACAAGGGTTTTAGCCATAATCAAACACCTTAGGGATTAAGCCACTGGGCTTGAGAGTTTAGGACCATAGTGTCAGGGGACAGCTAGGTCAACTGGCAAAACACAGTCCATAAAGACAATGTTCTACACTCTGAAAGGAAATAAGGAAAGCAGTAACATTTACAATAACCACCCAAAAGATGAAGTACTTAGGAATAA